CCCTGTCACATGTGAGAAGACACCTCACGTCATCAAATCGTATTTGGACTGGATTGGTTTGATGTTGCTTGAATCATCTGTCCACTAACGCTTCTTGTCGAATATCTTGTCTAGCACGTAGAGAAGGCGAGTGGGTACGGTGCCAGAATGTGGTGTCCAAAACTGCTTGAAGTTATACCGCTCTACTTGACTACTGGTGATGGATCACTTAAAGCTGGTCAAATGCACACGTTCGGGAAAACTTCTGATTCCAAATCTCAACTAGTAGAGCCCTTTAAGTGCCACTGTTGACACGGCAATGCTAGACCACCTAACACGTCAAGACCGAATCCGCGGGTGATGTGTGATGGAACAGTGCGCTCATAGCTACAACACCGGCGTGAAGAAACAATAAAGGTGAAAGCTACTAATTTCCATCATACGGGATGTAGCAACACGGGACAGTAGGCTCCAGACTATCCCTCCACTGTTCCTCATCCCTTTCACGTACGCCATGCCCTCAAGCTTCCCTATCAACTAACTCTGGATGAGAAATCCTCTGTAGATTCTAAATTCGTTTAACGAGTGATAGTGCAGTTGGCAGTTCCCAAATGATTCACGCGCTGCTGCTCTACTCCGCCACTCCTCCTCGGGGAATCTTGCTTGGAAGACCTCACTTCTCCGGAGCACTCTCTAGTAGTCCTAGCAATACTGCAGTCCTCTTGCCGACTTCGCATCTCCTTTAACAACCCAATGCCCACTTGGTATAGGACCAAAATATCTCATGTAGCTTTAAACACAAGCAAACTCACATCCCCCACCGCAAAAAAATCACTTCCTCAAACCCACACACGGTAGTTGCTGCACACCACTCCTGTCTGCATCGATTCTCTCAATTCTACTTTGAAGTAACATGAATATCCGACAGCCCTATCAAGTCCTTCCACCAACCATCCAGCCAGTGGCATTGTTTATCTGAGTGGCCTTGAAAAACGCACGTGGCATTCGCAGCAAACCTGGTTGAGTCACACCGAGACACCCACGCAGTGCCGAACACCTCGCCGCTGACACACACACAGCAATTCCGCTGCTGCCTGCACTCCATTCCGTCAAACCCAAACCCAAACCCTAGGATTCAAGGATCACAAACCTCTAATTATCATCAGGTTAATCTGCATGTCTTTAAATTACAAAAACCCCACTTCCCCAACAGATATATGTGCTTTAGTGAGTATCTAGGCCCTAAGCTAAATAGCTGGGTGGTTTGTGGTGAGTAGTCAGATTGCTCTTCTTCTTGACAATCGTCTCACAACCCTCTCCAAGTTCTAAGGAACACAAGATCGGCAAAGCGGGACCCACACGATATACCTCAAGAAGACGGAGGAAGTGGGCAGTAAAAAATTTAAAATTAACACGGGTGGACAAAAAAAGAATTGAATAGAAGTTGGAGAATGCGGAGTAATAACTGAATAGCAGGTAGTTAATCCCTGACTCAGAACACACACACACACACGCACTGTCACTGTTATTGTTGTTGATAATGCAAAGAAAGGGGCGCTAAAACAGTGCCTAGCAGAGGCTACGGTTGTATTACTTTTTTTATCAAAATAACCGTCTATTTAACTTGTAGGACTGTGTGGCTGAGTGTGATTGCGCTATGCGTGTGTGTGTTACAAAAAGCCTGCATCCTCATGGAGTGTGGTTTTGTGAAGTGGAGGAGGCAAAGATAAAACCACCTGAAAGACAGCAGAGGTCACCGGATCCAGAGCATCTAGAGCTTTAGAAGCTCGTTCTTGTCCAACATCTCAAGGTCTGGTGACAGCGTGCCAGAGGCCAGAGGCTCCACACCGAGTATCAGCTCTTCAGCACCCGGTAAAAAGTCGGCTAAATCCATCATAGACGAGGAGTCGTCAAACATCAAGTTCTCTTCCGACAGAATGGACTCTGACTCTGTAGCGCTCTCGAAGTAGGAGAAGTCTTCCTCCTCCTCATTTCCACGACCACCACTTAACAACAGGGCTTCCCGTGGAGTATTAAACAATTCTGGCAACGACAATGCACTCGATTCACTCTCCAGGAAGGTGGAACGACGTTTCGGACTGGTAGACGAGTTTATGCTGGTATAGAGGGTTTGGGTCTGTTCATCAAAGGTTTCGTGTTCCCTTTTCAAGACCCGTGTTCCCGGGTTTAGCAAACATGACGTTGGACGGGGTTGCTGAAGCATTATAGTCGGCGTAAGCATGGAGGAAGGGTGGTTGGTGGCAGATGCATAGCGTTGACGAACATGCGGACGCTGTTGCTCGTCGAAAATGACCCCACGGAAAGGCTGAAGCGCTTGTTTTACCGGGGTGGAGGACAGATCCGTAACCTGCGGTGATGAAGACGATGATGAAGAAGCGGAACTGTTCTTTCTAGACGAGTAAGCAGAGTCGACTAGACGCCACGACTCCGGAGAGTAACCCCTAGAAACAGGCATATTCTGGACCACGGCTGGACTGGTTTGCGCCGTGGGAAGGGCACTCGATGTAGAAGTGTTGGTTGTCACCACAGTTTCGTTCAAGGAACCACGTTTTTTCGGCTGGTATTTGTAGTTTGGAAACTCAAGTTGATGGATCTTCACTAGTTTCGCGGCCTCCTCGTCGTAACAATTCTTGATGGCCCGTGGAACTGAACGCCAAACGATTCCAAGTTGCTGGCTTAATACCGAATTCGACGCCTCATTGTGCACTCGAAGAACGTTTCGGCGGATGTGCTGGGCGAAGAGCTAAATAAGAATTTGAAGACCTCCAAATAAAGAGAAGCTATCTACTGACGGCAACTATTGCAGCAAATGTCTCCGATAATTAAAATAGAGATGTCTTGGCAACGATCAGTGTCCACAGCCCAGACATGGGTCTGAAATACGACCTTGAAAGGTCAGCGTCGCACCTGTCTTGAGTTCCTAATCGGTCTACTTGTCACCAAATCAAATTGCAGAACAGATTGCAAACAAAATAGAGATGAGAGACTTATATCGTGAAAAAGAAACCAAATTTTGAATTTCTAAGTAGGATTTGGTCTTATCTATGGGGGGTTAAAGGTGATGGCTAAACATTTCTCGGAACCAGGTAGCAAATGTTTCCCCCCACAATAGGGTCGGCAAAAAAACCAATTAATTTTAAGTCCTAAAAATGAGTTCCAAAATTGTTTATTAGCAGATAAACGTGCAACCAGCTCAAGTTTTTTGCAATCACAAGTTAGAAGAACCAGCAAAAACTTTTCCGACGCAGGGCTCTCGAGGTGTAAAAATACTTTTTCACTAAGAACTTGCAGAAGTTGAAGTATTAAATAAATTCTACAGGCAAATGCTGACACTTTACAACTGAACTATCCTACCATCCGAACTTCGAATATCCAAAAAATCCCAAAACATCTGCCTCCTAAGAGCAAAATTAAGGTGGAAATGTGGAAAACCTATCCCTAAGGCCCACAAAAAAGCTGATGCCGCCGTACGAGAAACACAAACAGGTTTATTTGGGGATTTCGGTTTGAGGTAAGACGGTCATGGAAGCGCTTTTGCCAAGGGGCCTGCTATCAGAAGCGCCAAGTTTCTGAAGATCTGTACCATCAACAAATATTGTACTATAGACCTAAGAAACGCTTCCTCCAATAAACAGTAGGGGATTATGACCTAAGAGTCCTCCCCTAAAGAAATTTGTTTTCCCCTCTTCTGGGATTCAAATATCTAGGGCTGAAAGGAAGAGCCGGGAAAGCCAGTCCCCCCCGGCAGACGATAGCCGTGCACATCCCAAAATAGCCACAATGAGATGCGGAGACGCGACTAGCCAATAGGCGAGTGAGTTGGGCTCGCAACCAGGTGCATCGGTGCGCGCACGCACCTGGTAGGCTGTGATTGGATAAGCAGGTAGTGTATGGAGTTGCGCAAAAATAGTAGGAGCCGCGGCCTGGATATTCCCCCACCCCCGCCTCCTTCCCCCCCTTTTTTCTCCATGACTCAGGCGTATAAACACGCACATACACAAACAAGTAGAGGGAGGACTCCTTTCTTCGGCCTAATTGACGGCATACACAGGCGTGCGTGCACCCCAACCATCGCCCGCGGTCGGAGAAACAAAAATCGATTAAGGCTCTGCGCTCCGCCGTGGTCTTCTCGATCCCTCTCTTTGCCACCAGTACACATCTGACGTACTTGACAAGTTTCATCAGCTTACATCCTGTAGGCTAATGACCTTCATAAATCTCCTTCCGCTTCATTATGCTAACAGTAGTCTGATTTTATTTTACCCTTCTTTTTAATTTTAGTCTTGGGATAAGGCTAAGTCTAGCGCTTGAATGACAAAATCTCCTGGCTGTTGAAAATGGCAGATCTTTTAATAGCACTTGCCCCCTATAAAACGTGTCGTAAAGTTCGCTCGAAAAAATCTTTCCTTTGTCGACGGAAAGAATAACACACTTTTGCGGCTCGTGTGCTCAAAACAGAAAACTACAAAATTGACTTAAAAACAGAAAACAGAAAATACATCCAACCACTGAATTTTATATACTAAAAAACGCATTTGAAGCAATTTGGAGTCCCAAGACTGCTCTCAAGGTCATCAGTAGGGGATCCAAAAAAGCACTGACCAACGGAACCCGGTTACTTATTCAAATGAAGTTAAAAGGCTTCGATTTGTGGCCTTACAAAGGGAAAAACCATAAATTTTGACTTTAAAATACAAGTTGGTTCAAAATCCGAGTTTAGTGAAATCGGAACGAGAGTGGGGAGAAATATAGCGAGTAATTCCCGACTCACCATGAAACTATTGAGGGGACGCGGCACAGAGTCCTTCCGTCGGCGCTTCTTAGACTCTGTGATGGTGGTGTAGGGTTTGGCAGCAGCAGCACCTGTCAATCGGAGTGCCCTGTCGCTTGGCCACTCGGTGGGTAGGGCATGGAAGTCCGTCAGATGACGGATCCAGGCATGGAGACCGCCTTGGGCAGGAGGACACTCAGCACACTCCACCATCCACATGACTAAACCGTTTGGTCTGATGAAAGCAGACACGAAGGCTTTATAGGCGGCCACACACCTCCGATGGCCTTGAGATTTCGCACACGCCGCACTTGCAGGCAGGCAGGCACGTGCGCACGTATTAGGGTTAGGAAAAGGGAGGCGAAACACTGGTGGTAGAGAAGTGGAGCAAAATGGCGAGAGACGGACAGACGGAGAATTCATACGCTTGTGCACACGTACATGTCTGTCTCTCTCTGTCTATGCGTGCATACGTGCACATAGGCACGGACACACTACCGTAGAGGCATGCGAGCACCAGCGGTGATAAATCGTTGACTCATGACACCTGCACATTAATGTTGAACCAAGTGGGATGTGCATTTCCCAGGGCTGTGCACGTCTAAACAAGCGATACACACACTCCACTACCACCACCTCATCCGCCTTAGCTCCATTTTTTTGAACCGGATAAAATTCTTACAAACGCGTCATATCCTTTGGCACTTACCGTTGGTAATCTGGTTGTCAGCGCACAGTCAAACCTCCAGACCTCGCTGATAATACCAATTTTAGAAATGATACCTTCTGGTCGTAAAAAAAAGTGAACGAAGAACGCCGTTTTGGACAATTATTAAAGTTATAAATTCTTGTCCACAGCCTAAAAATTTCATAACCTAATGCATCCACAGGCCATGACTTCGA